TCTTCCTCCTGCCCAAATCATCTTTAAAAACTCCTAGCACAAAAACCTGTCTATACATTAATTTGCATGCAGGTTGATTTCTCATAGGCACCTCTCTCATGTCTTGATGGTTGGTTGATTTATTTATTTGTTTGCTTGTTTCTTTTACTGCCCTTCATACATAGATCTCAGGGCGGTTCGCAACATGAAAATACAAGTTGTTGTTTTTTTAAAAAACCCAAAAAACAAAAACAAAATGCATAATAAAAACAAGAACACAAACCCCCCACATAAATCAATACCTCTCCTCCCCCCAAGCCCTTTCAGAAACACATTTAGAAGAGTATCAGATGTTAATTTCCAGACCAACTGCCCTCAAAACAGTGGGAGAGGTTTTAAATCATTCCTCTTTTACCTACCTTAACATTGTAACAAGTGTGTGTGTGTGTGTGTGTGTGTGTGTGTGTGACCCCCACAAAGCTCTGGGTGCATTTGCCTGGAATTTGGCATGTTAAATCTACTCTGGAGGGATTGCTGTTCCTGAGAATTTTATCTCCTTCTATCAAAAGGGGAGTGAAATATTATAAACCATTCTTATACACTTGTAAACATATATACCACAGAGTGACTCAGAACATATTGAGCTGCTTCTCAAAGTGACAGACTCAAGTACAAACTGAATCTTGTGTCTTGTGCACACCCTTATACGCTTATTGATTTTTATAAGAATACAGTCCAGTCTGGAGAAATATGTGTAAGGTGTTTTTTTCTGAGTTTCAGAATCCAGAAATAGCTTCTCTGAGTTTGAGAGCTGTTGGTCTTTTGTTGAAAGTGGCAAAAAGCTTTGTAATGGGTCAAATTCCTTTCTTTGATAAATATGCACAACTCACATTAAACACAGTAGGAGCTGTGTGTACATGCCTGAGGGCAGCTTTCGGTCCAGTGTGTGCTTCTAAATGACAACTTTAAAGGCAGCAATTATTTATTTTTTGATAGAACCTGGCAAGTACTGAAGATTGCTACTTTTCTTACCAAAATGCTTCTAGGTTTAAAATACATAGATTTCATCAAGGGAGTTTGTTTGGCCTATTTATTTGCCCACCGAACTATATATTACAAATCCTTACAAATGATTACTCTTTGTTCTCCAGCACATCACACATCCATTTTAAAATAAAATAATACTTTGGGGGATGTTTTATGTTTTGTTATGGATTGAAAACCTTAATCTTTACTTATATCATTCTTAGCTTGGGAATTAGCCAACTACCAAATGTAAGTTCTTTTGATTTCTATTGATTTCAGTTGCTGAGATTTACAGTGCAATCCTATAGAAGCCTGCTCAGAAGCAAGCTCCATTGAGTTAAATTGATTTATTCTCTGTTGTGTGTATAGGATTACACACCCAAACACATGCAGTGAAATAAATGGGAGTTAACCAGGTCTGCCCGGTGCCTGATTTATGTATAAGCTAAACAAGCTTTAGCTTAGGGCCCCACTCTCTTGGGGGTCCGAAAAAAAATTAAAGGGAAAAAAACTGGATTTACATTTCCAAAATATAAGATAAAAAACAAATAAAATAAAACCTACATACAGCAACAGTGTTTTGTGTTGTGCAGGCTCCTATTTGTTATGCGCAAATGGCTTTAGATATCTATTAGGTCTATAAATTATAGCAGGCATCCCCAACCTTCGGCCCTCCAGATGTTTTGGACTACAATTCCCATCATCCCTGACCACTGGTCCTGTTAGCTAGGGATCATGGGAGTTGTAGGCCAAAACATCTGGAATGCCGCAGGTTGGGGGTACCTGCCATATAGCATATATTCAACACAAAAAACAGTGACAACTTGTTGTTGACAAAGGACAGCTGGACATATAAAGGGCCCCATTACCTTAAGTAGCTTATGGCCTCATCAAACCTAAATCCAGCCTTGGGTCTGCCCAACCTGAAGGGTTGGCCCAATATATTTTGCTGCCTGAAGCAAAGAAAATGACGTTTCCTCCCTCCATTCTACATACAAAAACTGGTCAGAGTAGCGGAATCTTACTTCAACACTGGTGATGGGGCTTCATCCCTCACACATGAGGATCACAACCTAACTTAGAGAGCACAGGGAAGGCTTTGTAACACACACAGCTCTGTCCTGATTGCTGCCCTCCAATATCCATTGCCAGGCTTGGCCCACCCATGAGGCAAGGTGAGGCAACCACCTCAGGTGGCAGGACCCACGAGGAAATGGAAATCTTTATTCCCCCCTTGTTCTTAATGTAGATCTTCACTGAACCCTTCTTTCCTGGCAGAGAGCAGGGAGCCATTTTGGGGGTTGCCTCAAGTGCCGAAATGTCTTGAGGCAGCCCTGCCTGCTGCCTGAGGCAGCTGCTTAACTCCGCATAATGATAGGGTCAATCAAACTCAGCCTCCTACACTGAGGCCTGCTGGGTATTTAAATAGCAGAATTTATTGCATTCATAACAGCAGCGTGCCAGGGGGCAGAGCAGTAGCCATGCCCTGGTGGCTGCAGTATTGTGCTCACTGGGGTGGGGCAAGAGAGGGGCAAGATGGAGTTTCGCTGGCTTGTCAGTGACTCCACAGGTACATACACACTGTGAGCTGCCAACAACAAACTGGAGTTCCCCCAGGCTCTCCCCGTTCCCGACCCAGGAAGCACACTCTTCCTGCACTGGACAGTAGGGCTCAAACCAATGGCTTCAAATTACAATAAAGGAGATTCTGACTAAACATCAGGAAGAACTTTCTGACAGTAAGAGCTGTTCAACAAGTGCAACTGTTTCCCTTGGGAGGTGAGGAACTCCCCTTCCTTGAAGGTTTTTAAGTCAAGGTTGGATGCTTTAGCTGAGAATTCCTGCATTGCTGGGGCTTGCACTAGATAACCCTTGGGGTTTCTTCCAACTGTACAATTCTAGGATTCTTCCCAATGCTGGGAGGCAGGGCTTTGGTGACAGTACTTACTAGTATGGAGTCCTGGCAGCTCTCTTTTTCACCTGACCGTGTCAGCTATTATGCGCATTATCTGTGTATGGTTACCAGCACCTCATTTTTTACTGAAGGAAAAACTGCTGGAAGGGCAGCACTATTGCTCAGCAATAGAAATCATTAAGAGTGACTGTTATGTGGTAATTTGTAAAATGGATGGTGTTAGAAGTAAATAAGAATATGAAACGCAGTAATATTAAATCATAAAGACCCATCAAGAACAGCACATGGGAAACCTCTTGAACGAAATTGTCTTAATTTGGAATTAATTTGTGTAATTAGATTGAAATTGGAAAATCAATAAAAATAATTGGCAAAAAACCCTATTGCTCAGCCTCCCCTTGCCCTATGCACTGCTGCTGGTTTCTACTGGGGTTCTTATCTATGGCTGCTGGGCTTGTTAGGTTACAGGGATACATAATTCCCCTTAACAGGAGTTAAATGTTCACATCTAGCAGCCAGTGAAGTAACTTGGAGCTCGGCTGGCTACTGCAAAGGCTGTTGGGCAAATTCTACTGGGCTGGCTTTGACGATAATAACTGTGATTCAAATCCACACAGGCTTTTCTCATTACCAGTTATGGTGGATGGTACTCTGTGAGCTGATGGGTGCTTTGTTTTGGCAGAGTTAAAAACCAGAGAGCCACTTGCATGCACTGATTACATAACTGGGTCAGAGGCATTATCTTGTTGATTGCAAGGAAAGTTTATGTCATATGCATATAGATGAGCAATCAACCTTTGTGGTCTCCAAGTGGCCACACACCTCTTATAGATGCCTTGTAAGTGGGACTGATAAGTTATTTTGCCGGAATGATACTTTCTCATGTCTTGGACAGAATATAAAATTATTTGGGGGAGCGGGTATACATGGTATCCAACTAACCTTTACTCAAAGTAGACCCATTGAAACCAATAGGCCTATCTTAGTTGTAGTCATTAATTAAAGTGGATAGATAAATACCACCCTATATTCATGAGCTGTAAAGGATATTTTGTAGAGTATCATTGAAAGTCTAACAAAAGGCTATTTGTCTTGATATTGGCTTTAAAAATACTAGTATTTTGAACCATATGAGCTATAGTGTGTCAGACTCAAACAGAACTAGCACCCCAAGGTATTGAAAGACAAGATGTCAGTGGCATGTTTATAGTCACCTTAGCTCAGAGCAATTATGACGGCTTGGCTGGCACACTGGCAATGGTACAATAGAAATGGGAACGTTAGTGGTAATTGCTGCTTCAGAATATAGCTGTGCGCCTCTTAAAGGAATGTTGCTGAATCCATTTCCTATAAAGGACATCCATCCTCACAGTTATAACCCGTTATTTAAAACCTTTATATGCAATAGTTTTTCAATGGAACCACATCAAAACTGAATAATTTTGCAGGCTTTGTTCCTTTGGGATGATGCCATGGTCTGAAACAGAGATCACATCTACATGCAGAGGCCAGAATGCACTTGTGAGAAACTCCCTATTCAGATACTAGGTGCACAGAGAATGTGCAGTTGCTTCCCTCACAACCAGCTTCATATTCCCCAAGAAAATAGAACGTAGCAAAGCAATGTGAATGAATATTTTCCTGCTGCTCATTTGTTAAATTTCTACACCACCCTTCATCTGAGGATCACAGGGTGGTTTACAAAGAAATCCATGATAGTAACAGCAAAAACCCCCACACAAAAAAACCACCACTAACATCCTGATCTGGCCATTGCAAAACCTGCATTCTTTGCAAATGCAGTCCACAGAAGAATCATCTTATGACAGCATTCTCACTTGTTTTGGTGCATTCCATATTCCAACATTCTATATGGTTCAGTTGGTGACCTTGAGTTTGGGAATCAGCCTTCAGTGTTCCAAATAAGCAGAGCTTCTTGTCGTACAGTCAGCATAACCTCATAGGAAGTTGCCTTAAGCACGTCTTCAGACCATGGCACCATCCAGTTAGAATCACAGAATCACAGAGTTGGAAGGGAATCCTGAGAGTCATCTCGTTCAACCCTCTGCAATGCATCTTTTGGCCCAACGTGGGGCTCGAACCCAGGAGCCTGAGATTAAGAGACCCATGCTCAGCTGACTGAGCTATCCCAGCCAGATCTAGCTCAGTGCTGTTTACATTGACTGTCAGCAACTCTTCAGGGGTTTAGAAAGAGATGTTTTTGAGCCCTACATGGAAATACCATGGAGCCTTTTGTGAGTGAGGCAAGTATGCTACCTTCGATCTATGGCCCTTCCATAAATCGGCCACCCCTAAATTTCTCTCTGATCTCTAACAGACTAGATCTCACACTTTGCTGTATAACAGGGTCATGATTCTCATCCTCCCCCCAAAAAAGCTCAACAACTTTGGCTCATCCTTCCCCAACTCTTGTCAATCCAATGGGTAGATCATTGTCAGTTGTGGGGGTTTTTATATAGTGGGAGTAGATTGCAGTCTCTTGGAAGTTGGACAGCCCTGCTGTATAAGATTTGCAGTTTCTTACATTCATGTCTGTGAGCAACCAACCATTTAGCAGAAAGAACAAATACTTTTACCTAGTCTGTGGACTGTTGTCTTCAGTGGCCTGTTTATTATGTGACTTCAAAAAAATAAATAAATCTATGAAGGAATTTGTTTATTTTTCTAGTCTTTCACCACATCCACTTTTCCTTTTCTGATGTATCTTGTTAGGGTGTTGTAATCCCTTATTTTCTATTGTAAACTATTTGGAGTGTGGAATATATATATATATATATTCCTTCTATCCCCTACCTTTTCCCCCAATGTGCTCAAGACACTGTACATGATTTCTCATTCCTCAATTTATCTTCATGACAACTCTGTGAAGTAGGTTAGACTGAGAGATGGCGACAGGCCCAGGGTCATCCAGTGGGCTTCATGACTGAATGGGGATTCAAACCCTGGTCTCTCAGGTCCTAGCCCAACACTCTAACCACTACACCATGCTGGTTCTCACTCTTAAATAACAATATCTCTAGTGAGGTATTGTTTCTGGGGCAAAAGATCACCTGCTCCCTTCCTTTGTCTGTCAGTGACACACATATGAAGTCCTGGAACCAGCTTTTGTCTGCCCCATTCCAAAAGTCCCCCCTCTCTTTGAAAGGCACAACCTGAGAACACGATGTAATCTAGGAGTGGGGAACCTGTGACACTCCAGAGGTGCTGGGTTTCAACACACATGAACCCTGACCCTTGGCCATACTGGCTGGTGCTCATGGGAGTTGGAGTCCAACAACTTCTGGAGGCCCTCCACAACTTTTCCACCGCTGCTTTAATTTAATCAAAGCAAAACCGAATGTCCCACTTTGAAAGGTGCCCAGGAATTCTTTGCTGACTCTTCTAAGAGACCGCAGAAGGAGAGTTTATATAAAGAAAATAATTGCCCTACTTTCTGGTCATTATTTCATACTTCCTTCTTAATAGCGCCCTGTCATACTCGGGCAAATCCCAACAAACCCAATTTTATTCTGTCCGGGGGAAAAGATTACCCTGTTGAACACTTTTGATGGCAATAATCTTTGATGGCATGCCTTTTTTTTCCATCAAAGAATGACAGACAAGCCTGATGAAACTGACATTGAACTTGGTGGTTGGAGTTTGGAGCAGGGAAATTAGACTGGTGAGTTAGTGTGGGAGCTGATCAATCTGTGCTGGTCCCGTGGGCTAACTGAGAGGCGAGGTCCGAGTCCAGTCTGAGGTCAAAGGTGCAGTATGGAGGCAGTCCGTAAAAGTTGAAGCTGGATGCAGGGCAGGTAGTCGGGTGAGGTCAGAAGCTCCGACAGGATAGCAGGACAGGGTTCAGGCAGGAACTGTCAACCAACGAAGTTGCTCCCGCAACTTGGGACTGGGGCTGGCTGGCTTCTATCTGCCCCAAGGCACAGGGCGGCCCCAATCCTCAGGTGACCCGCCTCCCCTGGCCTTAAGACGAGCACTCCTCCTGCGGGAACTTAGTTCCCTCCGCCTCTCTGCCCTGAGCCTCTGCAGCTCAGGAGAGGCTGGAGGGTTACCGGACCCAGAGGCAACCTCCGCTTCCTCTGCCGGGGCTGAGAATGGAGCACCTGCAGGCAATGGGTCCTCTATCCCCTCAGGAGCCCAAGCAGACTCAGCTGGTGCCTGCACCTGAGGATCCAGCATAGGTGAGGACCCTTCAGGCTCATGCCCCAGCCCCGGCTCAGCTGGTTCTGGAGGCGGGAAATCCTGTGCAGGCTGGGATTCTTCAGGTTCAGCATCCGAATCCGAATCCCAGGCCATCACACAATCTCTTGGAGGGGAGAGCAGGACATAGCTATAGTAAATATTTTAAATATGTGTTTTTTCTTTAGACCTAATAATTAACCACAGGATGCCATGGTAATCACCTTGGATAATTAGCTTTTTTCATGTTGAAGCCTCTTTCTGTTCTGTTGCAAATTAAGATAAACTTCCCTCGAGACAATAACATATTACCGGTAAATGTCTTGTGTATGTTAGTTTTGTACAAAATATCCCTCTGTAGGCTGTTTTGCTATCGTCTTTGCCACTAAGGGAAATGTTATTCTCTCCCCTTCCCCTGCAATTTAGGGTAGGGAGGAAGTGATAGCATGTCTCAGAACTGGGGTGTGGGTCAGTGCAGCCATTGGCAGAAAAAAAATGGCATATGACAGAGGACTGCTACTGGGGAATACTATTATAGAGGAAGACAATCTGATTGCATATTGATCACTCTACCTTATATGGTGTCTTTGAACCAACAGTATTGTGGTAACTTTTGTGATAGCCCCTCTGATTTTAAAGTTCTATTTTTGAATGCTGGGTCAATTTTCCCATCTTTGCCGCATTAAGTAGTTGGTCCCTTACCTTTCCCACCCCGATCTGGCCACAGTGATCCATGTGACAGTCACCTCCAGGCTTGACTACTGTAATTTGCTCTACGTGGGGCTGCCCTTGAAACTGTCCCACAAACTCCAGCGGGTGCAGAATGCTGCAGCAAGGCTCTTCATGGGGTCCCTGCCATGGGAGCATATTCACCCAGTGCTTTACCAGTTGCACTGGCTCCTGGTGGAGTGTAGAGTCAGGTTCAAGGTGCTGGTCTTGACCTTTAAAACCCTTTGTGGCATAGGGCCCTCGTATTTACAGGACTGCCTCTCCTGGTATGCCCCGCAGAAGACCTTAAGGTCCATGAATAACCATAGTTTAGAGGTCCCGGGGCCTAAGGAAGTCAGACTATCCTCCACCAGGGCCAGGGTCTTTTCATTGATGGCTCCGACCTGGTGGAATGCTCTGTCCCATGAGACTAGGGCCCTTCAGGATTTAACCTCCTTCCGCCGGGCCTGTAAGACAGCTATTCTGCCTGGCCTTTAATTTGAATTCAGCCTGATCTTTTAATTCCCTTCCCTTCTCTTCCTTCCCTCTCCCCTTTTATGCAGATTACCCACTCTGAGACCCCACAGCTAATTCTCTCCTGGCCTCCTTGCTGGCCCAAGTAGGACCAATTCAGCCAGCGGGGGATTATCTAATGCTTATTTCCCCTAATTGATTTCTGAATTTTGAATTTTATTGTTATTCATGTTTTTATACTGTATTTTATGCTGCTTTTACAATTAAGTGTTTTAAATTTGTTGTTAGCTGCCCTGAGCCCAGTTTTTGAAATGGGAACGGCAGGGTATAAATAAAATTATTATTGTTATTATTATTGTTATTATTATTATAGGCTAACAGATTGAGGTTGAATCCTGACAAGACAGAAGTACGGTTTTTGGGGGACAGGAAGCGGGCAGGTGTGGAGGATTCCCTGGTCCTGAATTGGGTAATTGTGCCTCTGAAGGACCAGGTGCGCAGCCTGGGAGTCATTTTGGATTCGCAGCTGTCCATGGAGGCACAGGTCAAATCTGTGTCCAGGGCAGCTGTTTACCAGCTCCATCTGGTATGCAGGCTGAGACCCTATCTGCCTGCGGACTGCCTCGCCAGAGTGGTGCATGCTCTGGTTATCTCCCGCTTGGACTACTGCAATGTGCTTTACGTGGGGCTACCTTTGAAGGTGACCCGGAAACTACAACTAATCCAGAACGCGGCAGCTAGACTGGTGACTGGGAGCGGCCACCGAGACCACATAACACCGGTCTTAAAAGACCTACATTGGCTCGCAGTACGTTTCCGAGCACAATTCAAAGTGTTGGTGCTGACCTTTAAAGCCCTAAATGGCCTTGGTCCAGTATATCTGAAGGAGCGTCTCCACCCCCATCGTTCTACCTGGACACTGAGGTCCAGCACTGAGGGCCTTCTGGCGGTTCCCTCACTGCGAGAAGCCAAGTTACAGGGAACCAGGCAGAGGGCCTTCTCGGTAGTGGCGCCCGCCCTGTGGAACGCCCTCCCATCAGATGTCAAAGAGATAAACAACTACCAGACTTTTAGAAGACATCTTAAGGCAGCCCTGTTTAGGGAAGCTTTTAATGTTTGATGTATCACAGTATTTTAATATATTTTTTTGGAAGCCACCCAGAGTGGCTGGGGAAGCCCAGCCAGGTGGGCGGGGTATAAATAATAAATTATTATTATTATTATTAGTAGTAGTAGTAGTAGTATTAATTTATTAATGCTAGAACATCTGTCAGCCAGGATTTGAACATGCTCTCCTGGTGTGTATCGCAGGAGCCTGATTGAAAGAATCAGGAGTAAATTTGAGTCCAATGAGCAGGTTCAACCCAGAGACAGGGAGGTGGTTCAGTGGTGGTCCATCACTGACCAGAAACCTAGTCCAGCCTTCATTAACTTGAGCAATCCATATGAAACCTATTGAAGTGATATGAAAATAGAATCACATGCAAAACAATTTCATGTATGAAATCAATTTCAAATCCAATGTAGAGATAGACTGTTACAAATAAATGTGTTTCTATACCACCATATCATAAAATATCAGGGCAGTTTATGCTGTTAGCACATAAAGCACCATTAAAGCATTTCGTTGTTGAAAAATGAAGTTCTTCCAAACGCACTGAAGACACAGTAGAAATTTTGCCTATCTGTTATTTAATTGGGGGGAGGGGAGGGTTTCCAAAGAGTAAGTGGCAGCACACTAAAGGCCCAATTCCTGCATCATATGGAACAGATATCCAGATAAGATGGTGTCTGCAGAAGGAACTCTCTTGCAATGTGCAGTGATCAGCTGGGTATACAAAGGGTGAGATGATCATGTAGATAGCCTGGTCCCAAGCTGTATAGGGTTTGTACACCGGTCTCAGCACCAGGAACCTAGACCAGGATCTAACTGCAGTGGGTTAATATGATGGTGATATTCTGCTCCAGTAAGCTGTCAAACAACTGCATTTTCAGGTTGCAACATTTGGGGCACTTTATTTTCGAAGATGAGGCAAATAAAAAAATCCATATTAGAGATTGAGATAAGCCCCCCCTCCCTTTCTTTTACTACTAGAACCAAGGCCATCTGTTGAAGCTGTTAGACTATTCAGGGGAAACAAAAGGAAGGACTTTCTACACGACCTCTGGAATTCACTCCCACAAGATATAAGAATACCGCTTCAAGGCTGTCACTAGAACAAAGCAACGGCTAATATGAATCCAGATCAGGGAACTCAGGGAGACGAACCTTGCTGAACCTTAACAAGTCACTGGTAAAACGAACACCTATGTACAAACAAATGCAGGACAGAAAGCATTTCCAGTTTTTCTTAAGGGAAACACTGAGGCAGGGACAATTTGCTGCAACCATCCAACACAAGTAACCCAATAGTCAGCCAGCCTCAGACACGCCAAAGGAATTTGGCAAAAATGGAGCACAACACATATGCAACAGAGGACAGGAAACTAGTCCAGGAACTCAATTGCGCTTGCTGGGGCTGCTCCATGCTGTTCTGGAGATCTCTGTTACTGCTATTTCTATCACTTCCATGTGTGCAGCTGCTGCCATGACATTCACTGCTACAGTCACAGTACAGATGTGGTAGTGGCTGCTGCTGGCCAAAATGCAGCACAAGCAAAACTGCTGTCAGGCTTGTCGTACTACTGCAGTCTGCAATGAGATTTATGAACATCACCAAATTGTCCAACTGGCCCATAGGCAAAGCTTCCCACCCTGCTCAGACTCTCTGTCTTAGCTTCTTACTACACCGTCTGGAAGGAGCAAATGCACTGGCATATGAGTGAAGCAAGTCTCCAAACTCTACCTCGCTGCTAGTCACAACGACTGGGCAGCAAAGAGATTTTGAACTTTGCTCATTCAGTGTTGCATGCCCACACCTTCTTCTGGTCCTCCCCTACCTGCTAGGCATATGCACACAAGAAGTGAGCGTACAAAAGAAATACTTCTTTGTAGAACTTTCAGAAATTGAGGTGCGGGGAACCAGTGAAAGGACAAGAAACTGTCTTGCTTCTGTTATGAGCCATCTGTTGTCTGCCCAGATTCTCCTAAGCTGACCAGGCCAGCTAAAGAAAAGATGAACGACCAGTTGGTAGCTTTATTATTTTTTCAAATGTCTGAATATATTTCATCTGTCTGTTAGAATCTGAGTTGTTTTCTCTTTGTAGAGGCTTTTTGAAAACCGTGCTTCTCTGTATCATCTTATCTCCTTTTAATATCTTACATGTTTCAAGATAACCGTTTTTAAAGATTTCATAACATTAGAACAATCAGCTGAATAGAAAGGGAGGGAATGCAAAAGAGTGTAACAGGAAATCTGATTTCCGATAAGAAGAACAAAGGGAGGTCATACTCATTGAATTGGAGAGAAAGGGTTTTTTTCTTCTTCATTATCTCAAACTGTGTCCTTCCACCTTGTGTCCTCAGGTGCTGTTGGACTTTGACTTCCATTATCTCAGACCATTGGCTAAGCCAGATGGGGGCTGATCTAGAACTAGAAAACCGTGGGTGTCCTTAAAGGATGCAGTCAAGGATGGAGATATTTATAAGACCAAAAATGGTGACTTAGTAACATACAGCTTAGAGAATTCAGAACACAGCAACACATTCTCTTATGAGCCCCTTTCCTCTTATATCACTCCCCTGCAATTAAAAAAAAACCCAAAAAACCCATAAATGAAATAAGGATATTGTGATAATATGAGGACCGGGGGTGGCAATGAAGCAGAGCAGAGAGAGCCAGGGAGAAGTGCCCACTCATTCTCCAAATACATTTGACTCGATAATGGCCTTTATGCCAATAAAGGTCAATATAATAATAACAACTGTCTAATGATCTGTGAGATTTTTGTTTTAGAAAACAAATCTTTCAGGGTTATAGGACTGCGAAAATGTGTCTAAAATTGCAGTGGTGTTATTTGCCAATGTTGATGCTTCTAAAATGTATCCACATTTCAAATATTTGGTTTTAATGTAAAGCCCCTTTGTGGCAATGGCAATCTCTCGTCTTGGAGAAACCCAAAGCTGATGTTTGGGGAACAGATGTAGCTCAGTGGGGCCAAGCAGCTGTTTTGGATGCAGAAGGTCTTGGGTTCAATCTACTGCATCTGCAGGTGGGACTAGGAGAGAATCTTGCTTAAAACATTGGAGATCCACTGCCACTCAGTGTGGATGGTTCTGAACAAGATGGACCAACGGACTCCTATCTTCCTAGCATCATAACCAAAATGATACAGGCTGCATCATGCCATCATGTATACTTCTGTAGAATGTATTCATTACCTAAAGATATTATATTGCTTTTGTACTCACGGTACATTCCATTATCATGGGCAGTGTTACTAACATATTTAATTAGATCATGGGCATTTTTAATATATATTTTTAGACTGTTCAGCAAAAAGAATGCTGAATAAGGGGTGTGTTTTTAATTATTCTGGTTGCTAGGGAGCAATATCAGGGAAAGGTATTGCCTTTGTGGCCTACTTCTGATCTTTCTCAGAGACACCTGGCTTGCTACTGTGGGTGTTGGGTAGGATAGGTGTTTGCTTTTATTCAATAGATATTTTTTTATGGCTTAACAGTAGGCACTTATGTCTTATTGAATGTAGCATTCAGTGAATATGGCCTAGATGTTCCCACTGCTAGGCAGTGAACATAAAAGGAAAGATGCCCTAATTCCCTCTTTGTATGCTCTAACGCTCTTTGCACACCTTTTGCATTCACCGCACGCACACAGACATAAGAGTTTTCCAAGTAGAAACACTTTGCAAGTTCATAGGGACGAACATTTCCACAGACGTCCCCCATCGTCCCAGTTGATGCAGTGTCCACTATGCACGCAAACACACATTATAAAAGGCTATGCTGCTCTAACTATGAATTGCTAACATCTAGGATGTTGGCAATATTCGTATTTCCAGTGTTCAGGTAAGGAAATATAGACTGAATCAATAGATCCGTTCTGCATTTTGCAATAAGGAGCAGGGTGACAACTCACAAGACTGTATTAAGGCTATCCCAGTAGATTCAAGAATGGTGCAGCAGCTCTTACTGGCTTAGTAGTACCAATGGGATTCCCAAATACCCACTGCTGTGCTTAGGGTGGATTCAGACATGTTAGCTTTCCTGTTAATACAGCTAGCACTTGTGTACTGGTTACTACCATTTCTTTTACAGTGCATTGTAGATGATGTTACAGAATTGTGGATTTTTTCTTTTATCAATATACCGCCATGGCATGCTAAATTTCATTCACAACAGTGAGCAAGGTATGACACAACAGCAGATGTCATTGGACATGTTGTGTCACCACCACCACCCTGCCGTGCCCAGTGATTCATACATGAAAACAACAGGAAAGAACTGTATGCCAGAATACCACCCCAGATTTTGTTCCATAATTTTCCAGGTTAACAGGGTTGCAAATGTTGTCTGCCTGCCTGCCTGCCTGTGTGTGTACACACACACACACACACACACACACACACACACACACAAATTAACACAGAAATAAACACTAAGTTTCCACTAGATTCTGGTAGTGGATCTTACATTGTAGAAAATGCAAAAATTAGTAGGTAAGGAAACATCAGGGAATTGGAATAAAGTGCTGATTGCATCTTTAGTCTGCTCTGCCAGGTGCCAAGAAGGGGTTCAAAAGGCTCCCAGCAATACATTGTTGAGTATCCATTAGCCTATTCTCAGTGACATTTTAAAATCAGTCTTGATCTTGTGATATTTCTACTTGCTACTTACCTGAAGCAGTGTGCTTTGTGGAGGTTAGGCAGGACAGAGGTTGAAAGAGAGAGCCCGTGACAAAAGCTTAGCTGTAGAGCTTTGAGGAATGATGTTCAGAAGTCCTGCCACTTTCTCATTGAAAAAGTCATGACTGTTCCCATATAAGATGACACAAAGCAGACTCAGCCATTTTGCACAGCATTCCGGGTCCTACATCAAGTACATTTATCTTTCAAGAGCTGACTCATTCTAGCTGCAATGCCAAAGCACTCTCTGGTTCCATTTTGTCACACCACCAGACGTGAATACTAAGTGGCATCAAACATTTAGGAGAATTGTCATGGGACAAGGATCCTTTTTTTTTCATTTTAGCTCTAGCTTGTGGTTAAGCTTGAGCAGTTATCTGCTATAAAAGTATAAGGAACAAGTGATGATTCATGAGTAGAACTATATTTTAAAGCTGGAAAAATATATTGCTGATATGTGGAGTACCAGGAGAGCATTCTAATGGACAGAGGAACTTGATGTTTCATTCTTTTGGTCCATTTATTTCTTACTTACGTAGTCAACATGCTCAACGCTTTACAGAGTACAAGAGGATAAATAAGAGATACAGTCTATAATTTGGCACAGTGGAGCCAACAGAGGAAGGAACGGCAAGCGGAAGCAGGGCTAAATTGGGGAACAACGCACTTTATTTCGGTTATACACTGTATATAGCAATCATTGCAAATCATTGAACACATAACAACATTATTGTCTATGTCCAGTATTTGACAGATCAAACCTAGTGCTCTGCAATGGTTTGCGTTTGGCCCTCTCCTTCATGCCTTGACATCATTATTCAACATTACTATACCTGTGCATTTCCATTCTGCCAGCACATAATATAAAAGTTAAAACATGGTGCATATTTCATATGGGACCAAACTTATCAGCCTTGCCTTCCATTCCTCACAACTGTTGCAGCCAGTGCTCTGTTCTGTGGGACTGATTCCTCAAGATAGTTTACTGCTTTTCAGGAGCATTTCTGCCTAGGCCAAAGTCTATGGTTTTCTCAAGCTATTTCTTCATACAGGCAGATGAACTGATGATATTGCTTGCCTTCATATCTGCCTGATATTGCTCTGAATATGATTACTGACAAAATATGCCCAGTAAATGTAATCCTCAATTCACAGGGCAGAAAAATAAAAATAGATTTGTTTATCAAGTGATTACAAACTGAAAGTTTGAATGTGTGGACTGATTGTATTCCAGCTTCTATCATAGCTAGCATAATGCAGGAGAATACTTATATACTTCAATTGAAACCTCCTCTTCAGGGCTATTTATCCTATCATGTGTTTGGATTCTCTCTCTCTCTCTCACACACACACACATGCAAATGTGAGTGTAAACATATCAAGCATGACTGCAATGAACACATTTTTGGAAACACATGTGTATCATAAAGGCACACTTGCCGGGGAACTGTGGTTGGCCTTGTGTGTGTACAGTGTTGGGCTGTGAATAATGTGTAAAACAGCCCTTATTTACTGGTGTAAAGAAGGAACCTTCTTTCTGAATTATATTTCCTAAAAATGTGTGTCTTGACCCAGCAAAGATACAGCAGTTCCTTTGGATGCGGGGGACTTCCTCTATGAAGAGGTGTGTGTGTGTGTGTGTGTGTGTGTGTGTGTGTGTGTAATAACACCTTGTTCAGCAGCCCTGGGTACACTTGGAATGAAATCAGTAGCCATCCATATACAGTGATACATTGGGTTAAGAACTTAACTCGTTCTGGAGGTCCGTTCTTAACCTGAAACTGTTCTTAACCTGAGGTACCACTTAGCTAATGGGGCCTCCTGCTGCCATCACACGATTTCTGTTCTCATCCTGAAGCAAAGTTCTTAACCTGAGGTACTATTTCTGGGTTAGCAGTCTGTAACCTGAAACGTCTGTAGCCTGAAGCATCTGTAACCCAAGGTACCACTATATATGTCATTTACCAGATCTCACCTCTGTAGCCATTAAAGGTCTACAATTTTTTAACACAGTGCAAGAGAGGTGGACTAGAGGCAGAAGTGCAAAAGATCTCAGATCACTTCCAACTCCTGTTGGAGAATGTTGTCATGAGGAGCTCTCCTTGGTGCTGTAATAACTGACCCACCTGGCCAAATAGGCTTATTGGCAGGCCAGGACACAGCACAAAGGCGTCATGACACTTGTACATTTCCATCCCTTAAGAATTTCTACCACACCCCTTTTTACCACTGCTGCACATAGCTTATGTTTTTAGTGAACTGTACACCATGACCCAAATAGCTCTTGGACAGCCACTGCTAATTTGGACCCCATTAATGTATATTTGAAGCAGTCACTTTGTGTTTATATAAGTGAATCTCATCTGTCATTTTGTTATCCAGGCAAACTATTTGGAAATCCCCTTGTAGTTATCCACAGTCTTTTGGGGGTTTCACCATCTTGCATAGTTTGGAATTCACAAACGTAAGTACTTCAGTCGTCCCCAACTCCAGTTAAAGGTAAGGGTAAAGGGACCCCTGACTGTTAGGTCCAGTCGCGGATGACTCTGGGGTTGCAGCACTCATCTCGCTTTACTGGCCAAGGGAGCTGGCGTACAGCTACCGGGTCATGTGGCCAGCATGACTAAGCTGCTTCTGGTGAACCAGAGCAGCACACGGAAACACCGTTTACCTTCCCACTGGAGCGGTACCTATTTATCTACTTGCACTTTGCCGTGCTTTCGAACTGCTAGGTTAGCAGGAGCAGGGACCGAGCAACAGGAGCCCACCCCTGTCACGGGGATTCAAACTAACGACCTTCTGATCAGATCTTTGGGGGATCCCAGTGCTTAATGCCACCAAAATTTGTCCACTTTATGCTGTTCTTCCTGGTTTTAAAATTGCCCATCCATGGACCTGCCCACAATAATGTAAGGTTTTATTTTTAGGTGACAGGCTTTGCCAAAACATTTTGAAAGCTCCAAGGTTCCACTGCGGTCACCCTCTGTACATTTTTTTTTTTTTTTTAAAGCAAGCTTCTTATATCCTGCCCTTCTTCCAGTATAGAACTCAGGGTGGCAGATAACCAGTTAACACAGCTAGGTGTCATAATGACTGCTATTTGTTGACACACTGCCCAAACATTTTTGAAAGTTAGTAAGTGAGGACGTTCCTTTGCATGACGAGGCCCCAGACCCCACAGTTCCCTTAGATAATAAACACACAGACACAAATATTTAGGTAAATTTGATAAAATAGGCCACAACTTTATTGGTTACAGATGTGAGCGGTTTGGCTTAGGCATTGGTGAAACCAGACTACAGTATATTATGACTCCTGCCCATCTGCAGGGCGTCCCACTAAGGGT